GGCATACGATTCGCCATCGAGACTAAAGGGACCGACCATCCTACTGCTTAAGATGGTACGCCTTCTGCTACTGGGACTACCGTTACTACGGTACTACACAGCTGGGGCTGGGCTTCGCCTCAGGCGAAGCTGCTGATTGGGCCTCCCAACCCCTTTTCAAACTTCGGGCGAAGAGAATTATGCACATGCACCGATCCTTGCAAGGCCCATCCTTGACCCAGGATCGGTGCATATGCCTTCCTGGCCAAGGCAGGAGGGCGTATGCACCGATCATGGGCTCAGGATGGGTCTGGCCAGATTCGGTGCATGTGCATAGTTCTTTCTCCTCTAAAACTTACCGGGTGGGGGGGACGCATGGGGGCCGTCGGTGGGCCGGGCTTCCGCCCTGCGAGGGCGGCCGCCGTGTTCAAGGGGCCCGCCGTGGCGCAGCGCGGCGCCGCGCGAGCCCCCCCCCGCCGCCGGCGGGCGCCAGGCGCCGCCATGGGCCGCGCGGCGCGGCTGCTTCCCGACCCAGAGATCCGAGGCTCCGAAAATCTTGGGGTCCGGGCGTCTCACTACCTGAGATCCTGGCGTCCCAATTTTTCCAGCCGGACGGTTTCGCTTCTTCCCGGGCCCCAGGACCCTCGCAAATCGGTTCGGTTCGAGACATGACGCATAAAGATGGTGTGCAGGGCTCGGGGCGTGATTTTTGCTACGATGCTGCATCTTTTCGCTACGTAGGATCTCAGAGATCTGTTCGAGCTGGACGTTTGCACCAGGTTTCGGGCCCTGGGGCCCTCACATGTCGATCCGTCTCGAGATACGGCGCAGAAAGATGGGCTCTGGGGCTCTGGTAGTGATTGTTTGTCGGCGTCACAACTTTTGCAACGTCGGATCTCGGAGCATTGGAGCGGCCGGTCTGGGGATATTTCCGGCCTCCGGGGGGCCCTCGACGGGCTTCGGGACCGTCAGACAAGAATGAGGGATGAAAAGCAGGCCTTCGGGAAGGCTTCCAGACCTCCAGAGGTCCCCGCGCTGAAACCATTGGGTCGCCGGATGTCTGGGAAGACCTCCGAAAGCCCGGTTTTTCAGAGGCGAGGTATAGGGGCGAATAGCCCACGGGAGAGCAATACATGTATTCAGGTGCGCCGATGATCTATGTCATCGAAAAGTCTCCCGGGCGAATGCGTGCAATGCCCGCCCCTGAGCTATTCGCCCTTATCGTCGCCGCCGATGTTTCTTGTCAGCCCTGGCGTGCTTCCCTCCGATGCTTCGGCCTCTGCGCGCCTCCCCGGCGGGCCCCTCCAGCGGGGGGCGAAGCCAATTATGCATGTCATCGGCCTGACCTAAGGAATGATAAATAAGGAACGAAGCCCCTATTTTATCCCAAGGAATAACGCATAAGGAACGATAAATAATAGACAACGCATAAGGAACTGTAAACAACGCATGTAAACCTAAGGAACGACCGAGCGTCAGGCCCAGCAGCGCCATCAGCTGAGCGGCTTCGGGGCGAGGGGCCGCCCCCCGTGGTGGGGGGGGGTGGGGTCGGGACCCTGGGGGCCGCGGGCGGAGCAGCTCGCAGATAGCGCCGGATCCGGATGTCTGGGTTTTGGGGGGGGGAGGGGGGAGCCTCGAAGCAGAAAAGAGAACATGGACATAAACTTTTGACGCTCCGCGCGGGTTTCTTGGATCCGCGCCTGGGCCCCCCGGCGGCGCCTCCGGCGCCGCCCCGGGCGCGCTCCGCGCGGCAGGGAGGGGGGTCCAGCGAGAATCCAAGAAATCCGCGCGGAGCGCCAAAAGTTATGTTTATGTGGTTTTTGCTTCTTCTAGAGTCAGACGAGGTCAGGACGAGATCAATCCAGGCGGTCGTAACTCGAGAGTCTCTGAGAGCCGGCGGCTCTGGAGGACGCCTCGGGCGCCACGGCCTTCTCGGAGCGCTCCGGAGCGGATTTGTCCTCGTCCTTGCCCCGCCCCTGGGAGGGGGGAGAGGGCGCGGCTGGCTGCGCCGAGAGCACGGGGGCGGCCACCCGGGGCACCAAAGAAGGGGGGAGGGGGGGGAGGGACCGGGGAGGGACCGGGGAGGGACCGGGGAGGGACCGGGGAGGTCCATCTCCCTCGGCCGTCTTCCATTCAGCCTGGGGCTATCGATCCGAGTGTCTGCTGGCTCGTTCCCTCCTCCCCCCTCCCCCTCCCCTCGCTCCTCCCTATACTCCCCCTCCTCCCTCCTCCTCCTCCCTCCCGAGGGGGAATGGCGGAGGGAATTGAACAGCTGTCGAGTGGGAAGGACAGGAGGGAGAGGAGCCCACCACCGGGCGGCAGCGCGCGGAGCGCGCTGGGCGGTCCCCGCTGGGCGGCCACGGGGGAGGAGCGGGGACGAGAAGCGAGGGATGGCACGGGACCAGCAGCAGGGAAGGCAGCAGTGGCCTCTTCGGGCGGGCCCAGGACCAACATGAGTTGTTCCAGAGCGGTCCGGAATGTGCTCAGGGCGTTCCAGAGCGTTCCGGAGCGGCCGCAGCGAGGATGAGGAGGAGGAGGAGAAGGAGGTGGAGGAGGAGGAGGAGGAGGAGGACGAGGACGAGGAGGATGAAGGAGCAGGAGGAGGAGGAGGAGGAGGACGACGACGACGATGACGACGACGATAAAGACGACGACGACAACGACGACGACGACGACGACGAGGCCGAACAGCAGCAATGGGAATTGGAGTGGAAGAAGCAGGAGGAGCAATAGGACCAGGGAAGTGCGAAGGAGGGGAACGGAAGGGGGCGAGAACAATGAGGAAGGATTCGGACCCAGAAGAAAAGTGGCCCGCGCTGTGGCGAGAGCGCCATTCTGAACGACGGGCGCAAAGCGCCGATCCTAAGTTGAGGCCATCGTGGCAGCGGCATCACCAGTTTGAGACCGAAAACGTTCCGACTAAAAACAGCTAACAAAAAGACATGTTGGACAAACAAACAAACATGTTGGACAAACAAACAAACAGTTTCATCTCGTGCTTTGAAAAGGAGATGCGCGGAAGGGGGCGGGCGGGCTGCTCTCCGACCGTCTTCGGATGAGAGAGCGGAGAGGGAGCGAGTGGCATTCAGAAGGGGGGGGGGGGAATGGAGAGGAGGGAGCAGTGGCAGCAGCGGGGTGCCAGCCCCGCCCCCCACCCCCCCCCCACCCCCTCCCCATCCCCCCCCCCCACCGTCTCGGCCTCGGGTCGGCGCTGGCGGCGGGCGCCGCAAGCGGAGCGCTGCGGGAGACCCCGCGGCCGTTCGGGGGGGCGTCCTCTTGCCAAGCCTTCCTCCTCCTGCTGCTTCTCCTCCTGCTCCTCCTCCTCATCATTCTCCCCCTCCCCACTTCCTTCTCCTCCAGCTCCTCCTCCTCCTCCTCCTCCTCCTCCAGCTCCGCCTCCTCCTCCTCCTTCTCCATGTTGTTTGCCTTGTTGAAGAATTCCCTGTCGCACCCCCAGACTTGTCGGTAGCGCGGCCTGCGCGTTTCGCTTGAGACTTCATTTTCCCACTACGTATGAACCTAAAGCTTGGAAATGCCAACAGGTTCACATATGGAGGGCGGGTGGTTTGTAACATGTGGCTCTCGCTTAAGAGCCGCGCACCTACGCTTTAAAAGTTCGGGGCAGTTTTGCGGACGGAGGGTGGGACTTGTTTAAAAAGTGGTTCTCGTCTTAGGTTAGCACCGCGCACATTCGTCTTACAAGCTTGCAGCAGCTTCCATACGTCTTAAACGTTTGCATCGGCATCAAGGATGGAGGGCGGCTCCCCTTCAAAATGCGGCTCTCGCCTCAGCGCCGCGCACACTCGCTTCAAACGTTCACAGCAGTGTCAAGGGTTCGTATGGCTGAAATCCCACATGGTGTTCTGGCACGACTTGCGCACGTCACGGCAACACAGTCGCATTGATTTGGAGTGTCACGCTGATTCGCGGCATTGAAGTCCCAGGAGCAGCGTGTTGGCACGATTGAGGATTCTCAGACGATTGTCGTCCAGTGGGGCATTTCCCGCAAGGGGGAATGTTGATGGAGGTGTATTGCATCATCGTTGATGCGTCTTGAGTTTGCACTGGTCCTCCTCCTCCTGCTCCTGCTGTTGCTCCTCCTGCCGACCCTCCCCCGAGCGACTCTTCGCCGAGTTGCCCGACCGACCTGACGTCTGAGCGGCTCGGCCCGAGCCCAGTCCGAGGCGGCGCAGAGAATTGCCCCCATCCATGGCCACCGAAGTTCTTGCTTCCCTCGTGCTCGACCTCCTCCCCATCACTGAGGAGGCCCACCAGATGCTCGAACATTCCTCATCGTTGAGGAGGCCCTCCAGGCGAGCAGGAAGAGGAGGTGAAGGGGAGGAAGGTGGATGGGGAAGGATGCTTGGAATCGGGGGGAGGAAGTAGGAGGTGGAGGAGGAAGGGGAGGAGGAGGAGGTGCCCGAGGACCTGTTGGACGACCACTACCCCGCGCACTACGTGGCGAAGAAGCTCCAGGAGCCTGCCAGGTTCGGGGGTGCGCCGTCACAAGACTCCTTCTAAGATCTTCGCCGTCTTCGTATCTGTCGTCGCCGCCGCCGCCGTTGTCATCGGCGTCCTCTTCGTCCTCCTCGGCGTCGCCGTGGCCGTCGACGTCGCTTTCGTCGTCGTCCTCATCGTCGTCGTTGTGGCCGCCGCCGCAATCGCCGCCGTTCTCCTCTCATCCAGTTTTCCCCACCGCTTCCTCTCGCTGCGAGTGGCAGCCCAGTGCACCTTGGAAGCTCCGCGTCTCCCTACGGCCGCCGCCCTGCTCACCCTCCACCTCTGCCGGCGCCCCCCTTTCCCTCCGCTTCCTCGTCCGAGTCCAGGGCGTTCCTTCTCCGCGCACAAGCTGCTTCTTGCGTCGGCCACGTCACCAGCTTCTGACCCCGGGCGCGCCCGCAACATTCAGGTGCCGTTTACTTGTTTTTCTCCTGCTGCCCAGTGCTCCTCCTCCGTAGCCATTTTGGCCCAAGCCGTCTTGAATATGACGGTACTGCAGCCCGCGCGAGCTCAGATGCGGCATGCACTGGACAAGAGGGCGCGGGCGACACGTGCCCCTGGCACTGGTGCTGTTCGTGGTTCTTTTTTGTGGCCTCTTACTGTCTATGTTTCCAGATGACGACCAGGGAGAATTGCGCACGCCAGTACATTCTGGAAGTTCGGCAGAGGGCGGCCCTGCAAGGCTCAGTGCTTCAGCAGTGATGGACCTTGTTATCGTAGGTTTCAGAGAAAATCTGTCGTGGATTGAGGGCGTGGTCGCGAATATCACTCCACCACCTCGGGTCAAGCTGATCTGCAAAGGCGAGCTAATTAATGACCAACGCTGCCAGCGCATAGAGAACAGGGGGACGGAAGAGTTTGGCTTCCTTTCGCACATCATAGAAAACTACGAGAAGCTTGCTCCTATCACGATGTTCATGGGCGCGAACCCGCTGAACACAGCTTTTGATTGCATTGCCTGGCGGAGCCTGCATTACGTTCTCGCACAGGTGGACACCGTCCAAAAGCGTATGGCATTCCCTGGTTTCGTGGCCTTGCGCGTCTCAGGGTTTGACCCCGATTTCGACGTGTGGCACTACCACGCTCATGCGGATGGGGAAACGTCCAAGTTGTGCCGACCAAGTGTGAGCCCGTTCGGGGAGTGGTACCAGAGGGTGGTCGAGAGGAACCTCTCCAAGGCCGCATGCGCAGGACAGTCCAGCTCGGGCATCTTCGCAGTGAGCGCAGGCCAGATACGCCGCTACGGCGTCGCACACTACGAGCGCCTCCGAGAGGAGGTGCTCAGGTGCCCCGGCAACGCCTTCACTGCCGGCCACTACATCGAGCGCTCCTGGATGCCCATGTTTGGGCCGTGCCTGCCGGCTGGGCGCGCCGGCCGGGGAGGCGCACTGGCCGAGGCGCTGCTCCGCGCGGACTGCGGGCTCTTCCCGTCGGTCTTCCCGCCCGGCTCCGGCGAGTGAGCCGCCATCGGCCGTGCGGCCGCCACTCGTCGAAGGAGAGAACGCGAGCCTTTGAGTCGCTCCGCACGGATTTCTTGGATCTGCGCTGGAGCCCCTGGGCGGCACCTCCTGCGCCGCCCCGGGCGCGCTCCGAGCGCGAGGGAGGAGGGCCCAGCGCAGATCCAAGAAGTCCGCGCGGAGCGTCGAGAGTTTCTGTTCATGCCTTGCTTCCAGCCTGAATCAGACCTCCTGGCGTCGCGGACAAGAAATCGGCCTGGGTTTCAGTGGCTGCTCGCGCGCCTCGGAGCCAGAAGGAAGACAGCCCCGCGGCGAAAAGGTCGTCCCAGGGATGGGGCCGAGAGCGTCTGGGGCCGACAGAGAGCCACATCGTGGCAAGGTCACGACGTCAGAAGTTTTGGCACCCCTTCTGGTCCACGCTCTTCTGCTTCCAGGGTCACGCATTGTCGAGCATCTGAATCAGAGGGCTCCTCACGAAAAAATGGGCCAGCTTTTCTTAGGCAATTTGCCAGAAAGTTTGCCCAGCTTCTTGAGCTCAGTCGCCCCTGTAACGTAAACAGCAGACATTTGCCCAGGTTTGCTTTACGGATCGTCTGGGAAGTTGGCCCAGGTTTCTGAACTTATAATTTGTTTGATCGCATTTCCGGCTGTATGCAAGCTGGCGCGATGTAGATGGGGTATTGCTTGGGAGGTTTCGGCTTCGGGTGCGATTGCTCGGACATGCTTTACTCAGGCGCATCTCCGAGCGTCACCAAAGCTTGGAGCGCCAGACCGAAACTCAGATGCCGACGTAGCATCCATTGTTACACGGTCAGTCCACCGCTTGGCGATGCCAATTGGGCCAAATGCCTCGTGGCCGAGTAGCCAGCCAGCCAGCCTGCCAGCAGCTCCTCTTCCGCCTCGTCCTCCACCTCCTCCACTACGAATTGCGCTTGGTCGTTCGTGCTGGGGGACTTCAGTTTGACATGGATTGATGAGCCTTCGAACGACTCTGACTTATCCAGGGGTGAGTCAGCCTGTGGGGCTTGTTCTGAACTGGTGGTGCCTGTGGCATTCGACGGGCTGTGTGCGAAGGAGGCCTTACTTAAGAATGAGTGGTGCGTGTGTGATATATTTTGGATCAGGCGGTTGCACGTTCGTACACGGCGTATGCCCCGCGCATGGTTGTGGTGTGTTTGGTCTTATGTATACGCCATTCAAAATGAGGGCCCAACACACAAGGATCGGTATAATCGCCGTGTCAAGTACGTGGAGCAGCATGGTTTTCAGTGGGCAGTGTTGTCTCCTGCACGTGTGGCGGCATTTGCGGTGCTCTGATGTGTTTGCGTTGCGGCGTGGTGAAATCAGAAACGGTCGTGTTCAGTTGAGCGAGTTCCTTCCATGCGTTTGCGGCAAATGTCACCACCGTGCCAGCGCAGCAGTCTGTGCGGCGACCCTGAACCGCCCAGTGGAAGACGGCGGTGGCAGACCTCGAGACTGGGGCCTGTGCGGCTGTAACGAGTGGCGCGCCTGCTCCTCCGCGGGACCGACAGGCCGTGAGGCCGCAACACGTGGCGCCCATGTTCCCCAGATTAAAGTGTCTCGCAAAGTGCCAGAGTGAGAAGCCAGCGGAGAGAAAACCGTAACACGTAGGAGGCGGAGCAGGGGCACACGGAGGAGATAGAGCAAAAGAGAGGGAGGGAGAGAGAGAGAGAGGTAAGGAGAGAGAGAGAGAGAGAGAGAGAGAGCGGGGGGGAGAGAGGGAGAGAGGGAGGGCGGGAGAGGAAGAGGATAGAGGGAAAGAGAGAGCGTGAGAGCACGAAACAAAAACGAGAGAACGAGAGAACGAGAGAACGAGAGCAAGAGAGAGAGAGAGAGAGAACCAAGAGGGGGGAGGCAGGGGGAAGGTTCTGAATTACTCTTTGGGCTTCGGCTTCGGGGTCCGCTTGAGACGTCTTGGGGCATCTGGCGGCCCTCTCCAGGCGACTTGGGGGCCTCTGGGGACCCTCCGGGAAGCGTCTTGCGGGGGGCATGCTGGGCGGTCGTGGGGTGTTCGGGCACCCTCGGGAGGCCGCCTTGGGTCCTGTCATCAGTTGTCTTGGGTTTCTTGGGCTTGTCTTGAGATCCCCTTGGGCCGTCTTGGAGACATCTTGGGCCACCACGGGGCCGTCTTGTGACCGTTGCGGGTGCTCGGAAGGCCTGCTCGGCCGTGAAGACCGCCAGGGAGGCGTCGGGACCGCCGCCAGGGTTTCCTCGGAAAGGTGAGGGGGGCATGCAGGTGGGTGTTCCAGGGGTGGGGGTCAGCACCCCCATCTGGGCGGCGCGCGGCACGCTGACCTGGCTCTTCGTGCGCATCGTCGGCCACTCGCTGTTTCGACTTGCAGTTCCCGCACTGGGCCCAACCTCAGCAGATACATTGGCGCAGCTGCCGCCTCAGTCCCCGCTGGGGGACTGACCGCGCCAACGCTCCCGGGGACGTGATCCGTCTTCCCCTGAGTGGCCTCTCCTTTCCCCCCTCCCCCTGCGGCCGCCTCCTCTGTCCCCTTTGCCCCGCTCTTGCATGTTGGCCACTTCGCTACAACGGTGCCCCCCGTTTTGTCAGCTTCTTTCGTCAGCGCAGACGACCCCTGCCTAGCCGCCGACGGAAAAGTTTCGTGGGGGGCCTTAGATGATGACACGGCTGCCTGCGGCAAGTCTTGCCACCCTGCCGGCCCAGCACCTTGGGTGGCGCTTGCTCGGGAGGCCGTGACGTGCGACACCTCGTGCCCCGAGAACGTGGGAGAACCGCGCCATGTGACTCTAGACCTCCCAGATGGGGTCGGAGTAGATGGGGTCGGAGGATCGCGCCGCAGCGGCGATGCATCGGCGATGCGGCTCAATGTGGAGCCAGACTTTCTCCATGCCGACGGCGCCGATGCATCGGCGACGCATCGCCGATGTATCGCCCATGCGGCGCGATTCTCCGACCCCATCTGTTCGGAACCTATGTAAGAGGCCTCTAGCGACACACGCTTCCGGATCGTGTCATGGGGTTCTCTTCTCGTCGTCGTCGTCGTCGTCCCGTTTTGTTATTTGTATGTTCTTTCTTGGGTTCCCGTGAGGCAGTCTTGGAGGTCTTCAGGGCTGCTTTGAGCTCTCTGGGGCCGTCTTGGTGCTTCCTTGAGTCGTCTTGGGGCCATTTTGGCCATCTGCGGTCGTGGTGGGGCCGTCTTTGGGCAGTCGAGAGGCTCTCTGATGTCATCTTGGATCCCTCCGCAGGCCCTCCTGGGCCGTCTTGGAGGCTGATTGGGCCACTTGGGGGCCATCTTGGGCCGTCTTCGGCATACGGGAGGATTCTATGACCGCCTAAAGCTGCAAGAACCCCGAACAGTTGAAGACACCCAAATCTGGGGGGCAAAAATCATGTGAGTTGCACGAGTTGGGCCTCTTCGGGCTCCACTTGTACTGGGTGTCCTTTTGCGGCCCCTCTTGGGCCGTCTTGGGAGTGGCTCTTGATTCGAGGCAGGAATTTACACATGACCACCGCCTGGCGGATCAATTTCGGGGACCTCGCAGGCGGTGGATATGGATAAATCCCCGCCTCGCACTTGAGCCGCCTTGAGGCCATCTTGGGCCACCCTGGAGGTCTCGGGCGGCCACCTGGGCGGCATTGGTTGCCTGCCTCTGCCGTCTCGGAAGCTCCGGAGCGTGAGCCCATAGCTCTTTACATGGGATCGTGGCCCCAGGAGCGCAGAACGACTGCTTCCTGTTCGAGGGGTCGTACGACCTCGGGAGCGCAGAGCCTTTGTTTTTACCTTTCTCAAGCGACCGTTGCCTCGGGAACGCGGATCTAATGTTTTGCCGTAAGGAAGTCGGAGGGAATGGAGGGGGCCGTGCGCCCTGGAGCGCTGCCCCAAGGGAGGGGGGTCCTTGGGAGGGTTGCAGAAACCTTGCCGGAAGCCCTTGGCATTCTGCCATGCCTCGACGTGCCAGGGGGCACGGTGGCGGACGAAGGAGAGCGCCTCCAGTGTGCACCATTGGTTTTGCTGTATAGTGAAACTCTTTTATTTAATTCGGAAGCTGGAGCATATACATTACCAGTGGCGGGCGGCTTTTCAATCCCAGGATTTATTTCTGGGTCGGGGACGACATCGGGGTGGTGTGGTGTATATTTGTTTCCCCGTTTTCCCAGGGAAACAACGAAGAATGCATACCTACACCAGGATCCCGTATATACCAGGATCCACTTTCCTGTGCGAGATTCAGTGTGAGGCCAGACAAAGGCGTCGGTGTATAGAGTTCGGGCAACTCGCTGGCGGATAAGGGGAAGCGCCTCCAGGGTACACCATTGGTTCTGGGATGTGATCGAGTTTTCTCTGGCTAGAGGGTGCGCAGGTCCCACCGGGCAATTCGCTGGGCGATGACGCATTGAAGCGTTTTCGAGGAATCCGAAGCGAGAGCTGGACGCGTTTGCTGAAACAGTAGCATCCATTTTTTGACATATCTTACTGTATGAGGTGGCGAGCCGCACGGGGATGATTGTTAGCGGATGACGGGAAGCGTCCTCAAGGAACCCGAGCGAGGGCTGGACGTTCCAGCTGAAGTTCTAGCCGGCCGAATAAAAAACTCTTTGCAATGTGGGGTGGCGGCGCGCATCAATTCTGTCGTTGGCGGATTCAGAGAAATGACAGTGTCGCCTGAGACATCCTCACAACAATAAGCAGTCTCCAGCACCGTTCTTTACAGCAGCAAGCGCGTCGCTTGAAACATCCTCCGATACATGAGAGCCAAGGGTTTTACACATGTTCGAAAAAGGAGCGTTTTGCATGCTACAGATTCGAACAATGTGACGCTGACACATAAGATGATACTATTTCTCATGGTGGAGACGACGCTCTTGTTGCAGACATCCTCAGCAAATCGGGCGGAGCACGGCAGACCAACATAGTTCAATAGCGCCATCAAGAGTGCCGAAAATGACGACTTCGCTCGGCACATCTTCAACACACATGACACGTATGATAACATGGCTTTGAAATATGCAA